CCAATTATATCTCACTATGCCATGCACCCCCCCCCATTACTCCGGTAGTTACTCATGAGCATGAAAATCCTCATGTCGAATCCCAATTATTTTAATGTCTTAATTGGCTGATGTCAAACGCCTGGGTCGCTCTTCCATCAAGGGGACTAAATTTGAACTGGTTGGAGAGAAAATGTATAAGTAAATGCAGAGAATGTCTGTAATAACGGATTTCTGCTAGCGGAGTGATACATAAGGTAAAGAATGACGTCTAGGTCGAGTTAGCACTGCTTTCTCTCATCCTCGGAACAATCCTTGGTACATTATTCTTGATTCACGTCCAACGCTGATGAGGCCGGCTCTAAGGAAGAAGAAATAATTTACCTATGTTGAGCGAAAACGACGATTTTTTAAGCCTGCCGACAGCTGATCTGCCTCCTGGGCTGCAGTAAAGCCATCGTCGCCATCGCATGAGGCAAGAATCGCGTTTGTGTCTGAGGGCAACATGTGAATAATGCGTAAGCGACCAACAATCGAGGCATAATTGCCGGCTAATCATTAAGAAAATAAAAAAGGTTGAAGACGGCCATTTCTACAACCGTCCCCGGGGATAGCTCGTTCATTTACTACGTCTGAAGTTAAGCTAAGCTAATTTCGATCCTTCTGGCATCGGATGATGGTCTGATTTTCATTGGTCAACGAGTAAGACGCTGTTTCCTTCTTATGTATTTACGAGGATAATTTTTTTATTGCGAAGTCGTCGAGGGGAAGAATAAGTTACAGAGGGAGTTACTGGGAAGACTTACGTCGTCTTCTTTCTGGACAGGTACAGATTTCAAAATGACAGCATGTTTTGTTTGAATAATCTAACCGTTTTTCATTGAAATTATCCATATTTAGAGGAAGTTTTTAGCATAATTATTGACCTTCGTTCTCTCTTAAATCAAACCGTTTGTCACGTTTTGCTGAGATAAAATTCATATGCCATGAGAAGTAATGCATATGCTGAGGGTCACTGTCTTCTGCCACCCAGAAACTTGTTAATGATGATTTTATTGCCACATTGCGCTTTGTTCCATTTCTAAAGTACAATTTTTATTTCAGACGTCATCTTTGAGGATTTTGTAAGGAGATGAAGGTGTTTTCTCATGCTCATATAAGATTATAATTCTGTTTGACTTCTTAAATCGATTTATGCTAAAATATGGGCTATTCTGTTGTTTACGTTGTTCACTGTTAACGTTTGATAATGATGAGACCTACGGAAACAACAGATCATGATGTGAGGTTTCACATGACAAATAACTCCAGCCATTTGCTTGATCCCATGAACTTTCTATTTTAAAGAAAATGTGCATTGATTGGGCGTAGGTGAATTTAGCTAGTTATATTTTTTCATGACCAAAGCATCATCATTTCAATTATCGGTATGTAGATTATATCTGCAGTTCGAACTTAGGTGAACGCTACTCCTTTCAGGTCGCGGTCGCATCAGATAGTGCATCAAACAATCTCGATCCTATGTTTATCCAGTGATTGAGCTTCGGTAGAAGACAACCCGAGTCTAGAGAAGAGTTCTTCAAACACTTGCCACAGGTTAATCGTGTCCGTCTTCGAGGTCTTTTGCCCGTCCGCTGGGCAAGAAATCGCTGTTTCGCCTTTCTTTCAGGAGGCAGTCGCAATCCGGACCATCGCGTCTGTAACTTCTCATTCTGAAGAAGCAGTGACTGTTCACAAAAATTCTATAAGGATGTGCGTATTCCGAATCACGCTGCGATCCGTGAGGTCAGCGAATCGTCTCAGAAAGACCATTTGAACTGCCTGCACAGGGTATCGAAGTACTTTTGTCATTGTCAACCATTCACGAGCATTAGAGAGGACAGAATTGGGATGAGGATCGACTTGAACATAGAAAACCCAGCCTTTAGACTCGGCACTGCTTTAGTCACACTGATTCAGGCAGAACTACTCCGGCCATTCCATCTTCTAATCTCGTTTTCAATCACTAGGAGACAGGACCCCAAAGTACGTGATTACCTCCACTTGGTCCATTGCTTCTTCGTTTAGTTTAGTAGCAGAAGACAATGAACAAAAGAACGAGAAAGCAACTGGTCTTTTCATTAGACACATTCACATGCATCCAGGCTACGTTGCACTTGGCTGCGAATCTTTCCGCAGAGCACTGGATATAAGTTTTAGAAGATGCCAGCAAAATAAGGTGGTCGGCAAACTTCTCGCTGACACATCTCTCAGCCTGATACACTCCGCGTGCCTGCGCCTGACCATCCTATTCATGTACGGTACAAACAGGAGAGAGGATGGAACTCTGCTTTCATGGAGACTCGAAGGTCTCGACTTAAAGCCATTCGCTCTGATGTAGCACTTGCTACCAACACATAGTAATTGGATGACCGTCCATCCGATATATTTGTTGGTATGCCCACGAAATGTTGCGCGATAACCGGTCATAGGCCTTCTGCAGGTCTACAAAGCACATGTAATTCGAATGAGCAAGTTTTTCTGATTTCTCAACAATTTGACTTAAGACCAATGACACCTTGTCAGAAGTGCCCTGATCACATCTGAAGCGATACTGCCCTTCTTGTATATCAGGGTCAGTTATTCGATGGCTTCTTCTTTCCAGCACCCTTCGCGTACATTTTCCCCAGGATGCTCAATGAGATAATGCCCCGATATTTAAAGCACTCCCATGGTCTCCGTTCTTAGAAAGCGTGCTACCACTCCAGTTATTAAATTCACCGGTACTTCCTCGTATTCATTGCGGTTTGTGTTAGCCACAACATCCCTCATCCCCCCTAAAGCTTTAAGCATTTCAGACTGTATTTCATCGATTTCAGCATCTTTGCTACTTTTCAAGCATTACAGGCCTCTGCGACTTTATTTACTGAAAGACTAACACCTGAACCGTTGTCTGCTGCTCTGCAAACAATTCTTCCTGCGGTTGCTTAAGGTTAAGGAGTTTTTTAAAATGGGGGGGGGAGTCTTCATCGCTGAGGTATGTTCTCATCCTTTATACGAGGGCTTACGGATTTATCCTTCAGTATTATTAGATAGCCCTTCTTTCTATCTCGAAACCAGCCAATGGTCTGCCGGAATACCTTTCGCCGTCTGAAAATTCGACTCCAGCTCCTCACTGAACTTTCCCGCACTGCATTGGAATTGAAGGCTGTTTGTGTCTAAATCAACTGTTTTATGCAGTTTCCTTCTCACTCCAGTCAGTTTAACTTCTGCTGTCCACTTGGAAGATCGCTTCTTACCCGAAGAAGAAAGTCTAATCAACTTAAAACCGTGACTTTGTGCGACAGTCACTGTAGGTCGGCACAAAGAACTTTCACCCGGCTTTCAAGTCAGCCGTCATCTTTGATCTGTTCAAACCGTTGTGCGATTTTGCTTG